GACGCCGTTCGTTAACGGCATATTCTTTTAGGATATTCAACTATTGGAATAGATGCAAGCGGTTCAGAGGCAACCATTGACATGGGGGCGGGCATTGTGAGTTGGGCGGGTCTAGTAAGATGAAATGATATTCTTGGAAACCGCAAATGTAATTTTTAATATCTGTATAACAAGTATGTTTAGCTTAAACGGGTTTTCTTGAGAAATAAGTTGAAATCCGACAAATAAGTAAATAATAATAACAATAGAGAAAGAAAGGATTCGAGAAGAGATTTCACGGGTCGACTTTCAGACTTATGAGTGCACTGCGAAGAGTGATGGCCGAGTTGAGATCAAGAGAACCTATCAACTGAGCAGAAAACAAATCAGCTGCGAAGGTCATGCAGTCGGTTCGTTTCCTGACAATTCTATGAATTGATGCTTATTTTTGACTATTGATTGGTTCGACTTTTGTTTGAACGAAGTACCGTAATCGTTGCAGGCGAATCGTGGGTATCTCAGCACAACTTCCACAAGACATGTACGGAATCGGGAGCCCGAATCACCGAATGTCTGACGGATGCCGGGATTCCCGTCCCTATCAATCAACATTTGGTCCTCTCCGGAATCAAATACACGTACGTCGTTCGCTATGATTATAGGATGAAGCCCCAGAATCTATAATTCGATAGACTTCGTAAAGTCGTCTTTCATAAGCCTAATTAGGCTAAATTAAAGGTCAGCCCTTGAGGAACACGAACCCACACGTATGCTTTGTGAGGATCACGCTAATCCATTACACCACCTTCACCTAACGTCCTCCCCCATTTGCTTGATACTGCCTATGTGTGGCATATCCTGCCGGCACCCATATGAATGTCCTGATGAGCTTGTCAAATCATTCGTAACACAAACTGGGCAATTAATAGTAGCTGTTTTGATAGGGCTGTCAGATTGGATCGTTCTGAATACGCCATGTACCTGACCCAAACTCAGAATACATAGTGAAAGGATTGGATGCGTATTTACTTTCCAAGCGAGGTAGGAAACAAAATTGGTTCCTAATATTATCAAAAACGATGAGGCTTCGTTTCAAACTATCTTGGGTGAGCGATAAGTGGACCGATTGAGAACAGCAAAAACTTGATCAATCAATCAAAGTCCGAAAACCGATTCCGATTATCTGTCGGCAACGTCACTCACTATAAAGTCTTATAGTCTTCATAGCGTGGAAGATAACAGGGCGGAGAGGTGGGGGGGGGGGGGGGGGGGGGGGGG